GTGGGGGCTAGGAGAGCAGGTGGGGGCTGGCAGGGGTCCCAGCCCCCTACTTACCAGCTCCAAGTCTGGCTGCAGCTCCCTGCTGCAGCCACCAGGGACTGTCTGAATCATCAAAACTCTCTGAATCTTTTCTGAAGATTCAGAGAGCTTTGAATCGATTTGGACCTTTTAATTGGTCCCTTGATTCGATTCGGAGATTTGGCCACCGAATCGAGCCTAATCTCTGCATCAAATTGCCACCCGAAGCTTTGCTCAGCCCTACTGCCTGCCATTCAGCACCTCTTTAAACACAGCTTCCCATGCAGACTTCTGGGAAAGCCCTAGCTCTCCACACCCAGGACTTTTCTCTTGGGAGGGACTTGGGGTCTGAATTTTCCCCTTATCCTAGCATGTGGAAGGGGGGTAATAGGGAAGACCTGGTTGGACCTACTGCTACCAAAGCAAGGTCCCATGTGGAGAGACCTTTCATTCTGACAGTTCCATCCCTCTGTCCACCATGAGAGCCAGGTTTTGGGGCGTGGGTGGTTCCCTGACACTTGCTGGCAAAGAGCTGTGGGCTGGCTGGTTGCCAGGTGTCCCAGCTGCACTCATGGGGGCTGTCTGTTCCAGAATCATCGCCACCCCCGGACGCTTGATGCACGTGGCTGTGGAAATGAACCTGAAGCTGCAGAGCGTAGAGTATGTGGTGTTTGATGAAGCTGACAGGTCAGTTTCCTGCCATTCCAGCAAGGGAGAGATTTTTCTTTCAGGCGTGTCTTGACTGTTAGTGGATACTCCCAGGGTCAGGGTGGAGGGTGGTTGTGCTGGGACTCTGCCTCACAGGGAACACTAGGTTGTGGCAGCCACGGAGCAGCCAGTGAGGGGCAGAGGTGGCCAGTGAGGCAGCACAGACCAGCCCAAGGGTCCTGGGAGAGCAACCAGCAGCCTCCCATGCAAACCCCACCCAACTTAGGGACAGGTGTGTGGGGTTCTTGGGTTCAGGACCTTAGGAACAGTCAAAGGCTGGATTTTGAGGCTTGCCCCTGTGCCTGCGGTGTGCAGGACCCTTGGGGCTCCTCTGGTATGGTGGATCAGGTTCTCACTTGCCTGTTGCATGGTTGCTGACGTTGCATTGCTTCCCTCCCCCAACCCAGGCTGTTCGAGATGGGGTTTGCGGAGCAGCTGCAGGAGATCATCGCTCGGCTCCCTGAGAGCCGCCAGACTGTGCTCTTCTCTGCCACGCTCCCCAAGCTGCTCGTGGAGTTTGCTCGGGCTGGTAAGGAGCAGCTCTGGGGGTAGGAGGGGAGGGGTGGGGTGGAGGCCGCAGAACAGGCTCAGTGGTAGCAAAGCATGGGATTCCTGGAAGCATGGGATTCTCTTGCTGGCCAGGTCCAGCTAGGATCCTCAACATCCCACCCTCCTTGGTTCAGCACTTTGCTGAGGACTTTTGTGGATCTGGTTTTAGCTGTAGTGGAAGCAAGGGACTGACCAAAGCCAGGCACACACAGACTTATCCCACCATGCTCTGTCCTAGCCCCAGGCCTGCTGGAACCAGCACGTGGCCCAGAGCCTGGTGCCTCAGCCCATTCCGATCTCATACAAAGCCTGGTCTCTGCTAATCCCCACTTTCCTGCACCCTTTCATGGCTCTGCAGCTCATCCCCTCCTTGTGCCCATTCTTCAGGTCTCACCGAGCCAGTGCTGATCCGTCTGGACGTAGAGAACAAGCTCAGCGAGCAGCTCAAGGTGTGAAATATTTGAGTTGGCAAGCATTGATCAGTCTTTGAGCTTGACTAGAAGAGTCCCTGTCTGAGCCAGGCCTCAGTGCTTTGCTGTGGGCTGGCAAGGGAAGCAGGCTGGGCGGCAGTGGTAGTAATTGGAAGCCTGTCTCCTACTCCCTGAGCTTGATGGATGGTGCTGTACACATGTCCCTGTCCCTCTCTAGTAAGCTGCATTTCTTAGCTTCCAGCAGTGGTCACCACTGGTAACTGCTGCTAGTGACATACAATCCCCCTGTGAGTCTTGTCTCGCAGGTGCACTGAGGAATCACAGGAGCACTGGAAAGAAGTGCTGTTACCTCCTGCTGCAGTCTACCCCTTACCAGGCCTGACAAGGACCTGAACCCAGGACTGGCAGAGATGGGACTCTGCGGCCCTTTTGCCTCTCGAGTCCCACGTGCTCACCTCTGAGCTAGCCAGGGCCTGGCACCAATTCCCTTCAGTCTCTGGGGATACAGTTTGGAGATGACCCCCTGTCTGTGCCAAGAGCGCCCTGGGTGCTTTCCAGACAGGCCAAAGCCCTGACCTCCTAAACGGCCAGGGTAGGGCATCAGTCGTACACCAGCAACACCAAGGAGCCTCTGACCGGGACCCAAGCCCCTTGTGTCTGGCTCTGTACAAACCCAACCATGATAGTGGTCCCTGTCTGAGGCTGAGCAACTGGCTGTGCTAGGCCTGACATCTATCTGTGCCATGCCATGCAGCAGGGGCCTCATTCCCCCTCTCCCCTCACAGCTGGCCTTCTTCCATGTGCGTGCGGATGACAAGCCAGCCATCCTGCTGCACCTGCTAAGGAATGTGATGCGACCTCAGGACCAGACAGTTGTCTTCGTAGCCACCAAGCACCACACTGAGTACCTCAAGGAGGCAAGTGCAGCTTGGGGCAGAAGGTGCATCACAGGCTTGGTGCTGGCACCACTGTACAAACTGGGAGCAGTGGGGCTGGGCCAGGCTCTTGTCTGTTGTGAGGGCACCCCAGGGGCAGCTGTGATGAAGCAGAAGAGGAGTCTCCCCTGCCCAGAAGGAGGTGCTGTTGCAGGTGTTGCATTCCCAGCCAGGGCTTCATGGGTGACTCTGCCCCAGTGGAGCTCCATTGAAGGCCCAGTGGGGACATGGACAAGCACCTGGCAGTGCTCACGGGCACTTTGCCTGGGGAGATGCCTGCGTAAGCAACTGTGCATGGTGGCTTTGGTGCTTCTTTTTGAGGCTCTTCCTCTCTGTGCCACCAGAGGGCAGCACCTAACTGGAACTGGGAACCGTGGCCAAGAAGGAACCTTCTGGGCCACAGGGACCAGTCCTCTCTGTTTACAGGCACCCCGGAGCAGCTCCAATGCCTGGGGGAGGCATGCAGGACCAGGGGGCTGAAATGTATGGGCCTTACAGAATAGGCACGGGTCTAGTCAGAGTTCTGACACCTGCCATGTGGCCTTTGGCTCATGCCTCGGGCTTTGGTTTCTATGCCTTTACCACAAGAGGGGGAACCTGCCATCTCCCAGGACTGATGTGCAGCAAGCTGGATGACTGAGCAGCAGGAGGCTATATGAGCAGCCCACCCAGCCCCCCCTCCACAAGCTTGTGCTCATGTGCCCAGCAGATCCCAGAGCCATCCCCACCTGGTGGGAGTACCAGGGCTGCAAGAGAAGCAGGGTGTGGATCCAGGCTTCCCCAACACACAAGGCACTTCAGGTCCCCTGGTTCTCCCCTTACGCTCCTAGGAGTCCCTTCCACAGAGCCAGATGTCACACGTCTGTGCAGTCTCCCTGGGATACATCAAGTCCCCACCCCCTGGTGCTCTGCCATGGCTCAAGCCAGTGCCCCAGCTCACACAGCCCTTGGCTCCAGCCTGTGCCCACCCCAGATATGACTAAATCACCTGCGACTTCCCTGCCCATAGCTGGACTCCTCACCTGGGGAAATAAGTGCAGCAAGTCACAGATGGGCCTGGAGCCCTTTTTCCCCTTAAAGGGTCAGTGGGGAGCTGTATTGCTACCAGGGTCCTCTAGATTCATGTCAGCCTAGAGGTTGTATGTGGTGGTGGGAGCAGCCCCCGGGAGCCTGGGGGGGGGGGGGGGGGGTGTCTGTGAGGCAGGGACTTTGACTGCTGCTGCTCAGCCAGCTTCATTTGGGGTGGGGCAGGGCTGCAAAAGTGGGGTAATTGGGGAGACTGCTTGGAGGGGGGTAGGTCCCTGGGCTTGGCAGGGATCTAGGTCTGATTTATGCACATCCCCTCCACCCCCTCCAGCTGTTGACGGGTCAGGGTGTGAACTGCACCTACATCTACAGTTCCCTGGACCAGACTGCCCGCAAGATCAATATTGCCATGTTTTCACACGGCAAGTGCCCAGTGCTGCTCGTCACGGATGTCGCAGCCCGTGGGCTCGACATCCCCATGCTGGACAACGTCATCAACTACAGCTTCCCTGCCAAGGCCAAGCTCTTCCTGCATCGTGTTGGTGGGTCCCAGGGCTGGGCAGTGGGGGCATACCCTAGCCAGCTGGCTGTCCTGCCCCATCGCCCCAAGAGCCCTCACTATGGGTGACTCCAGTCAATGGAGCTGTTAATGCAGCCCAAGCTGGAGGGTCCTGGGAGTGGAACTGCTCTTCCAGCCTCATTGGGCTGCTAGGGGCTAGGCCAAGCCAGGGGAGGCAGGGACAGTGGTGGCTTCCATCCCACAGCTGTCTGCAGGCTCCTTAGGTGAGCCTCCCAGCAGGGGAAGCAGCTGGGCCAGGCACTGGGTGTGTAGTGGAGGGGCATTCACTGTGGTGGCAGGGCCACACAGCACTGGGTCCCCCATTGGTGCATGGCCATAAGCTGAGACTTGCCATCAGCAAGGGGTCAGAGGCGAGTCTCCTAGGAGCTCCAAGCTCCCTCCTTAGCCACTCCCCTGCTCCTGGCTGAGGCTGGCACAGAGGGCAGAGTCCACATGCTTGGCTGCCCTGGAGGCTCTGCTTCCTGTGATTGGTGCCATGTTCTGCCCCAGCCCTGCAGTCTAAGCTGGAAACCAGCAGGACTAATTCATTGCATATAGCTCTGGTTTAACGTCTCATTGTCCCTTCTGCCCCTGCTAGGCCGTGTGGCCCGTGCCGGCCGGAGCGGCACTGCCTACTCACTGGTGGCACCAGATGAGACACCATATGTCTTTGACTTGCACCTGTTCCTGGGATGCCCGCTGACCATTGCCAGCCCTCATGACAAGCCTTCCGGTAAGGTGCAGTTGTGTGCTGGCCCCAGGTGGGAGGAGGAGGCCCCTGCCTGGAGCTGGGCTGTGTGGTGGCGGCAGGGGGGGGGTGTACTGAATCCAGCCAGCCTGCTGCTCTCATGGTCTGGCCAGGCAGAGCAGCTGCAGTGTTTTGGGGGGGGGAGTGCACTCAGACTTCATTCTGGGTACACTGTTCTTATTCACGGAAGTTTGAGGCCATCGTGGAGACCCCAGAGGTAGTAATAGATGCCAGTGGGGTGGTGACTGGAGATCCAGACCTGTTGCAACATGGTTCTGTTCTGCTTCATAACCAGGCTTGCCTTCTGGGTGCCAGGCAAGGATGCAGGTCTCCTGGCCCCAGGTTTCAGTCTGGTAAGGTCACACCTGCAGTGAAATGTAATAGCTGCCCTCCCCATATAAGAACTAATATAGACCAGACCCAGCCTTCCCCACCCACCTTTCAATGCTGAACAGGGACCCTTTTGTCTGCTGTGCTTTCTGGGAGCCGTCTGCCCATGCTGGCAGTTAGGCTCAGGCTGGTTTCTGTCCCAAGTGTAGGTGTGGGAGGGGCTGAGATTTGTAGCAGGGATTCATGCCAAGGCCACGTTCAGAGTGCAGGAGCAGGATGTGGCCAGGAGAGGATCAGCTCTGGGTGGGTTCTTAGATGGGTTCCTCCTCTCCACAAACCCAGAGGTTCACAGCAGTGCCTGCAAAGGTTCCTTGCCAGGGCCCAGTCCCCTGCGTGATCTCTGCTCCCCCAGCCAAGTAGTTACACGGGGGGGGGTTGAGCTGTGGCTTGGAACGGAGGTGGGGGAAGGCAGCAGCAGCAGCTCTGACATGCTTCGCTTCCCCAGACGCGGGCGGGGTGTTTGGCCGGGTGCCCCAGAGTGTGGTGGATGACGAGGAGTGCCTGCTGCTCACTGACCATGAGAGCTCGCTGGACCTGCAGAGCCTGCGCAGGGTGGCAGAGAACGCCCACAAGCAGTACCTCAAGTCCCGGCCCAGTCCCTCCCCGGAGTCCATCAAGAGGGCGAAGGAGCTGGACTTCTCCCAGCTGGGCATCCACCCACTCTTCAGTGAGTACCCACCCCGGGGGCATAGGACCTGCAAGCATTGTCACCACTAGTGCCCTACTCACGCCTTAGTGCAGGAGCCCTGGAGTCTCTTGGGGGAAGCTCCCATGGCCAGTGCCACTCTCCTTGGTGTGCTGCTCCTCCAGGGAGAGGCTTGGCCTGCATAGCTGGAGGCTTTCCCAGCAGCCAGTGCTTCTGTGCTGTTCTCAGCAGCATGCCCTACTGGCCGAGCTAGCATGCTGCCTTGTGCCCTCTGGTGCTTCTCCTGACTTAGGCGGGAGCCTGTATACACAATTTTGCTCTGCTCTAGTTAGAAGGTGATAGTGTGTGCATGTCCCTCTCTGCTGACCCCTCCAAGGTTCTCGCTTCGAGGAGGATGAGCTGGAGAGGCTGAAGCTGGTAGACAGCATCAAAACCTACCGATCGAAAGCGGTGAGTGAGGGCCCCATCCGTGTTCCTACCCCCACCTCATTCCTGCAACCTGGTTTGCAGAGGCCTGGCAGCTTGGCCTGTTGGCAGAGAAGCTGCCAAGAGCTCTGCGGGCTGGGCCTCTCCCCAGTGCAGTGCTTTCTGGTCCTGCTGGACTGAATCTTGGCTAGTCTCCCCTGCACGCACACGCTTCTTTGAATGGGCCTGGGTAATGAGGCTTACCAGAGACTCCACTAAGGCATGGGTAAGGTGCCACTTGGTCGTATACCTACATTCCAGCCCAGCTGCCATGCAAGATCATAGCGAGCAGGGGTCCCTGCCCCTCTGTCAGAGGTCCTGCAATGAGCACAGATGCTGTCAGCTTCCCAAGACCTCCCTGCAGCAGCATTATTACAAGGCACCTGAACAGCCACTTCGACTGTTCTGGCTGTAGCCCATGTAACTGGGGCTGCATGATCAGCTGCCCCTACATAGTGTTCCAGGCCTGGCAGACCACTGGGCATTTTCGGGTGTTGCTGCGTGTGGACCCCCGTCACTCGCAGGTCACGTGTCTCGCCCTAGACCATCTTCGAGATCAACGCCACCAGCAAAACAGCAGCCAGTGACGTGATGCGAGCCAAGCGCAGCCATGACCATGCCCGCATTGACAAGTACCAGCAGGGGCAACAAGAGAAACGGGCTGCAGCTGTTCTGCGGGGCCGTGCCCAGAGTCCACCTGCCACAGTGCCTGAGGAGGAGAACGGATGCCTCCAGGTACAGGATACAGGTGTATTAGTGCCCCCGGCATTGGGCATTTCTGGCTTTCTCCTTTCCTCATGCGCAGCCTGCCTCTGCTCCTGCATGCCCAGCCTGCCACAGGCCTTGTACTGTGCAGAATAGGGCTGGGACATTTTTGGGGGTGGGCCTTGGAGGAGTGGGTCATCTGAACCTGCTTAAAAGTAAAAGGTCTGACTGTTCAAATCCCTGGACAGACAACCCATTTACTCCAGTGTCATGAGCCTTGCACTGGAAACCAAGAGTGGCAGATGGACAATGGAACCCTCTGAACCAGAGTGGTTTTGCCCAGTGTGGTGAAAAGTTACCTCTGAAACATTCAGAGCTAGAGCTCTACTGTTGGGGTAGGTAGCATCTGTCTACGCCCACCCCAAGGTAGCTGCTCAAGGCCAGTGAGCCATTCTGCTCCCTTTCCAGCTGGTGGTAAGGCCCTGTAATGTTAGCTGCCTGCTGCATATACCTAGTCCAGCCTGGTGCTTTTCCATCCATTCTTGATCCTGGTATACTTTGCATTGGCTTCCAGGACCCATGAAAACTACACTGAGGCACCCAATCATTGGTCTGTACCCCAAGAGAAGTGTGCGAAGCTCTTAGGGCTGGCATAGTTATGTACCAGGGGTGGCATTGCCCAACTGCTTCTGATAAAGTGGGGGCCAACCTTTTTGGCAGGCATGCCACAAATTAAGCCCTCTGCCCTCCCTGAGTACCACTGTGATCCCCTTCCCCTGCCCAATCTGCTGCTCTGCTTTGTGCTCCCTGCTCTATCTGGCAGTGGTTTGCCTGTCATGCACCCCCTCATCCCGTGGTCTGGCGCAGTTGCATACAGAGACTGCCCATGCCACTTGTAACATGTGCCTCAGGGTGGCCATGCCTGCTGTAGCCCATCAGTGGCCCAGATGGGCCTGGCAGGGGAGAAGGGGGAGGATAGGGTACCTGTATGGTCACTGCCCATATCCCGACAGCTCTGCTGTGCTTGGCTTTCCCAGGATATATTCTCCTCTGTGGTGGGCAGGAAGCGGAAGCAGCGCCAGACAGGGGACACTGTCCCAAAAAAGAAGCAGCGGGAGGCATTGCAGGACAAAGAATTCTACATCCCCTACAGGCCCAAGGACTTTGAAAGCGAGAGAGGGTGAGCTGGGGGGTGGGGACTGGGCTGCAATCTCGAGGCTGGGCAGCAGGGGGTACCCTGGCTCCTGGACCCAGGGTGACTTCTGGGTCCTTTCCCACATAGGCTGAGCGTCACTGGGGAGGGCAGTGCCTTTGAGCAGCAGGCTGCCGGCGCCGTGTTGGACCTCATGGGCGATGAGACCCACAACATGAACAAGAGCAAACAGCTGCTCAAGTGGTGAGTGCCTCCCCTCCCTGGCTACAGGGACAACTGCCCTCACACACAGTGCCCCTTGCCCTCACCCTGAGTACTCTGTGCAGCAGGCTGGAGTTCGCCTTCCTACCCTCCTACTCCTGCTTTGAGGGCTGGGGGTAAGGGGAACTGCAAGGGGGATGAGTCCCAGACTGGCCCCAAGATCCTAGCCCTCTACCCCCCCTTCCAACCCCATCTGGATGGCGACTCAGGGTGCTAAGCTTTCCCCATGGCATGGTGGGGCAGAGACCCTCTCGCTCCAGGGGCTCCAGCATGGCCCCACTCGGGGGGGGGCGGTGAGCATGTGCACTGAGCCCCTCCTGTTCCAGGGACCGTAAGAAGAAGCGGTTTGTGGGGCAGACAGGCCAGGGGGACAAGAAGAAGATCCGCACGGAGAGTGGCAGGCTCATTGGCAGCTCCTACAAGAACAACCTGTATCCTTCAAGGCTGGGACAGTGCCTTTGAGGTGTGGAGGCTGCTGGCAGCAGGCCAGAGGTCGGAAAGGGAGCCAGCTGTAGCGGGTAATGGGACATGATGAGGCCAGACCTGCATTGCTGCCCTTTCTGTCTGAGGCAGCAGAGCATGTCTGAGTGCCGGGGCCAGGTATGAGGGACTGGAGGAGTCTATGGGCACTGGGCAAAGGCAGGGGTTGTTCCAGTTTGCAGTGGGGGGAGGGATCACTACCCTGCATCTCTCCCTAGTGGACCCTGTTCCGCATTGCGGCTCAGTGGGCTCAGGAATGATCGTGGATGGGGGTGGGGAAGGGAAGAAGCAGGGTTGGGGTGGGGAGAGGTCCAGCCCCCCTGCAGAGGGCAGATCCCAGCTGTCCCCTTAGCCTGCTGCCCCAGCTATGAGAAGTGGAAGCAGAGATACAAAATTGATGAGAGGGACTCAGAGGAGGAGGGGGAGAGCCAGCGCAGAGGCGGCAGGCGTGGAAGAAGAGGGCAAGGTGAGTGCCTGGGATGGGGGGCACCAACCCTTGCTAACTCACTATGGTCTTGCGGTGGGGGGAGGGGAGGCAGGTCCTGGTGCATGCCCTTCTGGTATGCTCAATTTATACAATGTGTTGTCAGGGGCAGAGGCCCTACAGCAGTGTCCAGTCCTTTGGCCACTTAATTCTTGGCCCAGCATCGGGTCTCTGCATCTGCAGGGACTGGAGACCCAGAGCTCTGTGTAACACGGCTCTATCTTCTCCTGCAGGCACCAGGCACCCACAGCCCTCCCCAGGTAGAGACGGAGCCCCACGGGGGAAGGTGCGTTCGGAGCTGAGGAGCAAGCAGCAGATCCTGAAGCAGAGGAGGAAGACAACCAAACAGCGCTTCCTGCAGGCAGGGGGGGGTCGGCGGCTCAAGGCCAAGAACCGGCAGCGGGTGCAGGAACTGCGGCGCACAGCTTTTGGGCGGGGGGCAGGTGCTAAGAAGGGCAAGATGAGGAAGCGGCTGTAGGGGCTGGGCTGGGGAAGGGGCTGGGCACACGAGGCTCGGCCTGCTGGGCTGTTCTGAGCCAGGAGCTGATACCCAGCCCATGTGCCCTATCTCTGCTCCCCTCCCCCAGCCACATTTGCAGTACAGACTCTGGGCTGAGAGGAAATTAAACAACACAGTGGTTGTATTTTAATTTCTTGACTGTTCATCTTGAATGCAGCTTATCAGAGCAGACAGTGACTATGGGTGCAGTGACTTGGGCAGTATTCTGGCCTGGAGAAAAGAACAGCTGCCCTTTAATCTGTTTAGTGCCCCCTGAAAGCCTCCAGCCAAGGGAGAGCTGGACACAGCAGGCCCAGGCAACCTTGGTTGCCAACCTGCAGCATCTCTTATTTCATTGTGGCGGCATCTCAGGGGTGACTGTAAAAAGGCACTTGGGAATGGCATATGACAACTGCCAGCAGGTAGGCAGCTCTGGTACCACCTGGTGCTGCCAGAGGCAGCAGTGTGTTTGCATCCCGTGTTTGAGTGGGGAAGGCAAGGCAGTACCTTGCTGAATGCATGTAAGGAATAACTCTAACCCTCCCTTTTTTTTTTTACTGGCCCTAGCTCTGAGAGTGCTTACTTGCAGCACAGTGCCCTGCTTCCTAGTTGTGTAAGCTAGGGCCCAGCTATGCTTCAGAGATTTGGAAATGGACAGGGCCCAGGCCCCGACATTCCTGTTACCAAAATCAGACCTTGCCGAGATACCCTCAGCTTCATCTCATATTGAGCTAATTGAGTTAATGGACAACGTATCAGCCTTCCCCGCCATAGGAAGCACTAAGCCCTATCTGGAGCCTTGTTAAACTTCAAACCAAGCTCTCTATTGCCCTTCTGCAGTTCTGGTGCCATGCTCACTTGCTGACCTTAAAAGCCCCAATTTTTGGGGGGGAGCAAAGGTAACAGGAGGGAGAGAAGTTATATTTCTTTCCATGGGGTGACTGGAAACTTGTCATTTAATTGGAAATCACTTCAGAAGCTCTGGCTGTATTCCAGTCAGAGGTTTTTTAGTTCCAAAGTCAAATGGAGGAAGGGAATTTCTCTCATAATTCCCTCCCTTTCTGGTTCGGTCGGGTTGGGAATAAAAAAAGCAGCAGTTGAGAAATAGCACAAATCTCTTAGTTTCTTGGAAAACCCAGACTGGCACGAAAGGATCCACAAAAGTTTCACTTTGCATTCTGCATGGAAGCAAAGCCTCCTGTTTGGCTTCCTTGTTAAATGTAAGGGCATTCCCTACCCTTAAAGTTTCAGTGACCCTTCTCAATACCCATAAGTTTAACTGTAATCCAGCCTTCCCCTTGGCTCTCACACACCACCCCCTCCCCACTATAATTCTATCCAAGTGTTGAAGTTTCCATTAAAGAGAGCTAAATTAAGATCAGCATGTGACTGAAAACATGCCTTGTAAAAAGGCCACCTTTTAATGAAAAGCCCCAGGCATGCAGTGAGTGAAAGAGCTAGGAATCCAGTGTGGACACTCTGCAGAGAAGCAGTAGACAGTAACAGGTGCTTCTTCCTCTGTTCTAAAGATATATCTTCTATACCAGTGGTTCTCAACCTTTTTTGTAACAGGGCCCACTTGTAAACATCAAGGGCTAGTCCTGACCCAGTGACCCTTACTCCTGACCTGCTGCCCCCACCCCAAGCCCCACAGTGTGTGGGAGAGCGGGGCATAGAGGGGAGGCCCAAAGCAGCCCCTTGCAGGCTGGGAGTTTGCCAACCTGCAAGGGAAAAACCATGATCTCCCATGTTTTTCTCCTTTAAAGGAGAATCTATTTTTAAAGTTTATTCACATCCCTTTCATATATTCTTGTGACCCACTTTTGTGTTGTGACCCATAGGTTGAGAAACCTAGAAAGCTGCTCTATGCTATGCACAGTCCATGGGGAGCTGTCCAGATGAGCAGCTATCCCAAATAAAGGAGAAATCTACAGCCAGCGCAAACTGAGATTCCCATCTTAAATGATAGTTTGAGATCTTTTAAGAAAAATCCAGCCTCACCTACAAATCAAGCTTGCAGGAGAAAGGTGGCCTTCTGGCTTTCTGAGTCACCTCCATACACTGAAGGAACTTCACCTGCTTAAGGTTGCTCCCTGGGGCCTGACATCTCCTTTCTCTCAGTACAGTCAGACAGGTCTGCAGCTGATCAGAGCCTTTCTTTTTTTGTATAGTCTTTAAACCTTTCCCTGTTGAATTTGAACCCAGGCGTAACAGACATTTTCCCCCTACCTCAATGAACCAGTGCTTCTTCCTCTGCTCCCAGCTCAGCACCAGCAAAAATTGGCTTTGCTTTCTGATACAGTCTTGTTAACCTGAGGATGCGGTATCAATGCAGAAGAGGGATCATTCCTATAAAGTGAGACTGTTGTGGCTCTAATTCATCTTTCCTTCATGGCTACAGCTGCTTTGTACATCAGATGTACTGAAGCTTGGAAGACTCCAAATTGCAAGAGGTTAACAGGACAGCAGTAGGCAGAGGTACTGGAGGACAGGGTCTGAGGTGTACAGTGAGCCCTGGCCTGAGTGTGTCAGGATTCACCTGAGCATCTTGCAGATAGCTGGGGTCCTGGCCCTGGCAGTCCAGCATGGAGAGAGGCTATCAGTTTGGGCTTCTAGTCTAGCCAAAGGGGCATCATGGTGCTAGGGAGTTTATGGTCCCTGCCAAGGTTTGGTCCAGGGGGAGGGAGTGGCAATTCCAGGGATCTGGAACCTCTTGCCATCACATGAGGCTTTGACCCAGCCACAGGGCTGCCGGGGAACCTGCAACAGAGATGGCAAATTGATGATGCTGCCCGGAAGAAGCTTTGAAGGGCTCTCTGCTTCCTGCCCCACTGAGCAGGCAGGCCTGGTTAGGGCCTTCAAATGCTGCAGAAACAACGGTTTATTCCAAGGGTTTTCATGGGTCATGCCCCACCACAACAATAGTGAAAGGGGTCAACCACATTTCAGATGTGGGCCTTGACTTGCAGTCAAGTGCTTTGTCACTGAACTGGACCCCCTCTGTTAAAAGCAGAAAGAATCCCTGTGACTGCAGCATATGTGCCTGACCATTGATGGGATTCTGGCTGTGGAGCCAGTGCATGACCACAGATGATAGTCCACAGACAATAATCACCTGTGGTATAACAGGGTTAACACACTGGGCAGTGTGTGTTCTAGGTCTCGTGCTGTATGGGGGACAGGAGTGTTACAACCCCGGCTATGGAATCTGGGCCCTTTAGCTCAAGGTGGTTGTGTCTACATGAGACGCTTTACTGCTCAGTAAACTTGGCAGCAGCAGCAGTCCCTCAGAGTTGAGGATGACGTCCTCAGGTTACTAAGGAGCCCAATTCTGGATACACACATTCTTTGGCCATAGAGGCATGTTGTTGCACAGGGGAATGGGATCCACAGCCCTGAGTTGGTCTCCTCCTTCTGCTGCCGCCATTCCACCTCAGAATCAAGTCTTTAGGTCTCAAAGTGGTGCGTGCCTTGGTGGACCAGGTGGCACCACACTGAACGGTCAGCAGCTTGCTCCTCCCAACCATTGGTGTCGATGCCTCTGTGCTTGAGGGTGACCTTGAGTGTGTCTTTGTACCATTTCCTTTAGCCGCCCTTTAAGCGTTGGCCAACAGAGAGCTGGGAAAAGAGAATCTGGCAAGGGAGGTGGTTCTCAGACATCTGGCCACAGTGGCCCATCCATTGGAGTTGATTTCTTAAGAGTAAGGCTTCGATACTGGTAGATGCAGCTTAATGGAGGATGCTCGCGCTGGTCCGGCAGTCCTCCCATTTGATCCCCAGGATTTGACGCAGTAGACTAGTTACTACGCAGTAAAGCGTCACCATCTACATGTGCACCATTTGCTGTGCAGTGAATTAGTCTACTGTACAGTTAGTACCTGTAAATACAGGCAGTAAACTAACTAACTGCACAGTTACAAATTTGCTCTCGGTCAGTCTCAACACTAGGGGACCACAAGGGACAAGGAACTCTGCTTGTTCTGGCACTGCTCGGCTCTTGGATCCCTGCGGGAACTGAACAACACCGGGGTTGCGGAGCTCTGCTTTCCCAGGCAGCTGGCCTCAGGCTGGCTGGTGATTTACCCATGTGTGGGCGGAGGGGAGCAGGGTACAGGCTGGGAGCTGTCCTGCTTTTGGGGCAGTTCCCAGCCAGCTCCAGGCTGGTTGGGGATATCCCCACACTGCCCTGGGAGCTGTCCCAGAAGCCCAGACAGCTCCTTGCCAGCCCCCAGCCATGTAGCGAAGCTTCTCTGGGCATGGGGCTTGTCCTCATGCAGAGCTCTCCTAGTCCTCTGTTCATATCAGGACAGTGACCCGGTGCTCCCTACCAACGCCCAGGCTAGCACCCCAGGGGAACCGGAAGCTCCCCCTGGCTGCTGCAGGGGGCCAGAGCAGGGTAGGAGCAGCCCTGTGCTGGGCTGGTCCTATTGGGAGCAGATTTCCTCCCAGCAGGGAGCATGTGTAGATGTGCTCCCAGGGAAGGCTTACTGCACAATATTTTACTCTTGCAGTAAGCCTTTATAGCATTAATAGGACAGGTAGATGCACCTGGTAGGTGTGTTATGCCCTGGAAGGCTCCAGGTTGGTCCCACGATGGTGGCTAAACTAGTGGTTGTCCCACTGGCTCAGTGTTGTGGTTGACTACAGTTGTTCTTATAATGCAGGCTTTGTCTGCAGCAGGATATTGGGGGAAGCTCCTGCCCTTTCATTAGCAGGTGCAGTCCTTAACCCAGCTGAGGAAAGCTAAATGCCTCTGGGGCAGGATCTGGGGTGATTTGGAGACTGCAAAGCCAGCAGCATCCTGAGCCTTAACCAGGCAGCATAGCAGGGCTGCTTTCATAGCATGACACGGCAAGGTGTGTTCACTACAGCAAGCAGGGATGCAGCAGGGGGAGCAGTGGAAATCAGGGTTGGCCTGGGATAGACCCAACACCAAACTCACCACAGAGATGGCCGTTCTGGAAGACTGCTGTGTGGCTTAGCTCGTAGCAGGGGGCAAAGTCTGAGGGATAGGCAGGGGCCCCCCCTTGCGGAGGTCAGCAAGGATGTTAGACAGGTCAGTCATGCAGAGTAGGACCTGATGGAAACAGGGCAAGGTCACCGCAGGAAGGAGCCCTGCCTGGACAGACCCCAGTGGGTTGCTTCTCAGGAGCCATCTTCCATGTTACGTCATGCCCCTCATTACTGTAGGGAATGATGTGTCCTCACCAGGGAAGGCGTGAGTGTAGGGGAGCCCCGGCTACTCCCACCTCAGGGTATGATCTCAGGCCAAGTATGGGGAGGAAGCCCCCAGCAAGTGGAGCAAGAGTGCTGGGAAGCCCTGGCTAGTCCAGTCCTAGCCTCTCCCAGCAAGAAGTGGGGTAAGGAGTTTGGTGTGGCAGCCTCAGCCCCTCCTCGCTTCATCTGGGATGGTGTGGAAGCTCTGGTGGCAGGCCACAGGCCACAGTCCAGCCTGCAGAGCGAGCATCTCTGCATAGTAACAGAGACTGCTGTGCACTGGGGAACCTCTCAGCATTTGAACTCGGGCCTGGGGGGCTGTAGGAAAAGGCCGACAGCGGCTCTGACCTTGTCAAGCTGAGCTTCTGTGTCCTCCAGGGGTATGTCCACCTGCAGCTTCATCTGCTTCGTCGCCATCTGGAAGAGGTTGAGCGCAGCCATCTTGATCTGTCCCAGCTCAAGGGTCTTCTTGGCAGCTGTGGTCTGGATCTCAGTCCACTTGGACTCCTGCAGTAAGGCAGGCTCAGAGAGTTACCTATTCCTTGGCCTCAGGCCATGCACTCTCCCTCCCAGCTTGCACCCTGCAAGCCTCTTGTCCTGGCACGCAGCCTGAGTCTCTGATCCCTGCTCCAGCACCCTGGATGCAACGTGTCTGCCCCTTCCACCTGTGGGCTGCTTGGTCAAGTCCCTGCTCATTAACTAAGCATCCCTCTAACCCTGACAGCCAGAGGCATTGACCCATTTCACACATGACAAAAGCAATGCATGAGGAGGTAGAGCTGCCAGCTTGGGAGCTGCTGCATGCCAGTGGTAGAGCTGAGAGCAGAACTTGGGAACCCAGGCTCCTGCCACACTGCTAGCTATAGCCCAGTGAGCACCATCACCCTGCTGAAGACCTGCCCCCTAGCCCCGGTGGCTGTTCCAGTACCAGGTGGAAGCCACACAGTATGGCCATTCCATCTAAGCCCTGGTGCCATCTGGGATCCAGGGCAGCCCCTGGTGTCCTGGGCTAGTTGTTACTTTTCCCTCCCACCAGCCCCGAGTTCAAATCCTGGAGGGTCCCCAGTGCTCAGCCTCATTCCCATCCCCACAAAGCTCTTTCTGCTCTGTTCCTGGCAGGCGATAGAGACCCCCAACCCCACCATGATAATCGAATAGGGCTCAGCAGACCGTCTTGCTTCTCAGCTGCCTTCCCATCCCATGGGCTGCAGAGGGGGACTTCCTAAAAGATGACCTAAGCCGTGTCCTTGTCCTTTAAGCTCCCAGGAGGGAGGGATTTTTGGTAGCTCTGGGAGTTTCTGTGGCACCCTCTGAAGCTTTTTGCGGGGTAACACATGGGCTTACAACAGCACCAACAAGAAGCAGCCCAGCCGCAGATGGAATTGACCTCACTGTCCCGCTTGCCTTGCTCATGCTACCCCCCCACCCCCCAGCACCCTCCTACCAGAGGCTACCACACCAGCTGTACAGGCCACCCCCACTGCTATGCTCCAGCCTGCCAGCTGTGCACATGGCACTGCTGCCCACATGGGTGAGGCTGGCGCCAGGCCCAGCTTCCCACATGCCTCCGTAGAGACCCACACACTGCCTGTTTAAGGAACATGAGGGAGGGCAGTAGCTGGTGGGGACAGACCCCCTGCCCTGTGGCCGACAGTAAGCACCTGGCTGGGGAGGGAGGCAGCAAAGGCAGAGAGGCACTGATATGTCCCCTCCCTGGGGCACCATCACTTAAGGACCCTTGTCTCTTCTTGGGTGGGCTGGAGTAGGCAGTGCCACCAAAGAGGGGATATTGGGGCTGACAGCTAAGAGGAATCCCTGGACAGGGGCAATGATACTGAGCAACCTGGGACAAATAGGTCAGGCCTCCCTAATACAGGGACTCCTAGGAAACCAACCCACAGCCCATGTTCAAAGGCCCCACAGTGGAGTACACGCAATTTCCCAGCCCACTGACCATGGTCCCGGGGATACCACCATGGGACCCAATGGTCGCGGCTTCCCCACCTACCCACTGGTGCACCCGGACCCGGGCCTGCTCCAGCTGGGTCTGTAGTTCAGCCAGCCGGTTGTTGCACTGCAGGACCTTGTTGTTGCTCTCCTCCAGGTACTGCTGGAGCTGGGCATGTTCCTCCTCCACTTGCTCTCGACTCCCCAGTTCCCGCTGCACCAGCACTGCCTGTGTGGCCACCAGTGTCCTAACCCGGTCAATCATTTCCTTGATCTCCTGGAACTGAACCAGGCAGGGCAGGGAGGATAGGGATGGTGCAGGAGTGGGGGACAGAGATAGGAGGTAACAGGAGGCAGAGGGTTACAGCCCTGCAGCCTGGGACCTGTCACATTCACAGGTGTCTTAAAAGCACAGGGTATGGGATTTTAATCTGTGCACTTATCCCACTGTCACCCACAGTAAGATCTCCAGCAGTGGGGGAGGGATGGGGGCTTCCCACACCTCCTGACCCTTCTCTTCCTTGCAAGGGAACTGGATCCTGCTTGCCCCGCTGCCTCACCACCCAGCCCCTCCTCCTGTGCTTCATGCCAGGTCCTGTGCCACTGGTAAGCAGCACATGCAAGTCACAGGGAGGCACCACACCCCAGCCACACCAAGGGAACAGGGGCAGAGCCTGCTGCCTCCTGCCTTACTCTTCCAGGGCTGAGTCAGGGCTCCTGCCCCTGGACCAGCAGGCCAATAGTCTGACAATAGTTGAGAGGAATCCCTGGCCAGAGGCCACAATACTGACCAGGCTGGGGCAAAAGGGTCAGGCCTTCCCAGCATGGGGACCTTGGGGAACCAACCCAGGGCCCAGATTCAAAGGCCCCCCCAGTGGGCCACACATGAGGGAGAGGTGAGAGGCTGGGAAAGGCTCAGCTGGGGGTGGTGCAGAGCAGGGGGCAGAGACCTGGGGCTCTTCCAGGCTTGTGGATCAGGGGCCTTGCAGTGGGCCTCACTGCTCCCTGCAGAGAAGGGTCCAGCGCACCTGCTCTGTTTTCTCTATCACCGTCTGCAGGTAGCTCCGGAAGATGTCATTAGCTTCCAGACGCCGCTGCAGCCTGTCCCTCTCCGTGAGCAGCCGGGCAATCTCCTGGCGCAGATGTATGGCCTCCGTGTTGCTCCGTGCTGCCTGCAGCCGCTCCCCGCTCGCCTTGCGCAGTGCCCTGTGCCGCTTGGCATCGTTCTCCTGCCACCCGTCCCAGAGAGGAGAAGGGTCATGCCCAAGGGCCAGGGCCCCACCACACACAGCTGGCTCATGTTTACTGCCACCACACAAGAAGGCTGTGGGCTAGTGGGGGGCCAGCTCTGATGAGGATAACAGCCCGTGACTAGTACCTAGCTGGGGAGCTTCTCCCTTAGATCCAGCTGATGCTTGTCAGTCCCAGACCTACCCAGCTCAATCTGCACGTCTGCTACACAGTCAAAGCAAAACCAGACCCTCCAGCCTACAAATGCCAGGAGTGTGAAACCAGCCTGCAGCTCAGAGCAGGGTTCAAAGTGGGTCTTTGCTGTACATACCACACCTGAAGGAAGAGGTCATACACAGTGTCTGAGAGGCTGGGTCCCAATGGGATGGGATTTGATCAGCTCCTCAACTGAAGTTTCCTTTGGCCAGATGATTCCTTACCAGCCAAACCTGTCTTCAGTAAAGGAAAACTGCACCTCCCCACCGCCCCATTCTGCTACCCCACAGCCTGCTCCGTGCCCCCTTCTCCTCCCCCACAGCATGCTCACCTTCAGGAACTTGTCAAATTTGAAGAAAGCCTCCTTGAGTTGCTCCTCCTTATGCTCCAGCTCCTTTCGCCGCTGCTGCAAGCTCTCCATCTTCACCTGGAACTCCTTGGGGCAGAGCAATGCCATCAGGGAGGGAGAAGCCTGTGCTGGGCTCCCTGATTTGCAGCAACTAAAGGCCTGAGAGGAGGCTCTGTACATGGAAACACAGCAGTTCAAGGCTGCCTCCAATGCAATGTGGAAGCAGCAGCAGGCCCATTTTAGTGCTGAAGGAGCCATTCAGCACACTGCAGAGCAAAGGTAACACACACTGCCAGAGTGTAGGCCTCTGTCCCCCTTTAGTGAAGGGTCTACTTAGGAGGTACAAACCTACTACTGCTTGTGATGGAGGAAGCTCTCTTTTTAGTGTAAGCAGCAAAAGATCATGCTTTAAGCATTGATAATACCCAGTTTCAACCCTGCTGTCACCCAGGCAGGATGAGCCAGTCCAACCTAGGGAACTGAGCACTTAAATAGCTCCTCTGTGTCAATCCCATACAGTTTAGTAGGTCCAGTCCCCTTTGTCTAATTCCCCTCTAACTCCATGTCTATGGTTACAGTGCTGTGTGTACCTCTGCCAGCCCATTCAGTCCTAGTCATCCTCAGTCACTCTTAGAGGTCACAGGTGAATTTATGATCTGGCCGTTGCACCGGGGACTACAGGCAGATCACTGAGAACAGTTGGTTTGGGGGGAAGGGGGGAAGATCAGTGCCCAAAAAAGTAGAAATCAGATAAAAACATTCCATTTTAGCTTGGTCCACATCCCGTTTCTTTCCGTTTCCCCTCAGCAAAACGAAACCCCAAGCAATTTCTTTTTGAATCATTCCACTTGGTATAATATGTTTCATTTTGGGCTGTTCTCATTTTTAATTACATCTTTCTGAGTTCCTACATGAAATGCCATTTTGAAACAAAGCCCATGTAGATGTTTGACTTTGGACATCTTCACTTTTCTGAATGCTTATCTCCATTTTCTCCGAAATGTGTTGAATTCAACTGGATTTTGTGAATAGTTTTGATCTTTCCCAAAACAGCACTGTTTTGGAAAAGAACAACTTTTCTGGAAAAAATGGCTCAGTTCAAGCTCCAGGCACACTCATTCTCATCACCATTGCCTTAATTATGGTAGTGCCTAGGAACTCCAACTGGACTTATTGCAAGGGGACTGTACATAAATAGAACAAAGCTGCCATGCCATTTTTGGCTACGCTGAGGTATTTTGCCTTCAACAGAGTGAGTAATGACAGCAGGATAGATGGTGAGGGGCTGGGTAATAAAACCCCCTGCAGTCGGGACATAGCATTTAATAAGACACAACATTGTGGGATATTATCTGAGATGCTTATGGAAACCTCCATCTTGACAGTCAGGAGCCAGTAGTCCTCCCATCTCAGAGGTGCCTTCTCCTCTGCGGCTGATGCCTCTCACAAATCCACCTTCCACCTCTTACAATCATCTGAAAGCGTTCCCCCCTCATCTCTTTCTCAGCCCCGCTCTCCTGCAGCTTCTGAGAGCTTCTGGCATTAAATATAGCTCACTTATGTAATTCGCCAAAATTAACATTTGTTTTACTCTTTGCTATTTAATTCTCTACCTACAGTGCCACCTCCAAAACATTTTGTGATATCTCTAGGCTCATATGTGGGCTCACTCTACTTCTGGGGCACACTGTATAATGCTGTCAGGGCACAGTTTGTGAAACATGCAGTGCAAGACTAAGCGGATCATCATGAGGGTTTTTACTCCAAAGGAATGCAAAGGGCTTGACAAACCAGAGATGCAAATCACTTCCTCTGCCAGCGAAGAAATGCAACCATCTGTAGGGTGGAGCTCAACAGCTACTTAACAGCCCGGAGCAATTTGTGACAGGTAGTGAGACATGAAGTGGAAACCACAAAGGTAATCCTTGGTAGACAGAATGGAACTGTCCAGATTAAAAGCGGCCCAGGTTAGTTTTAATGAACCTCCACTGGTCCTAGCCTGGTGGCTCTGGATGCCTCAGCTTCAGGAAGTCTCCACATTGACCACATTGGGCTACTTCTCACCTGCCCTTGAGCTCTCAGCAAATCCCCTCCCCATCCTGCCACACAACGCACACACCAGTCTCAAGAATTTACTCCAATCTCAAATTCCTCAGATGAGGTTCTGATGGCCCTGCACCATGGCCCACCAGGAAGGGAGGGCCTGGAGACCCAACCACTTTGATGTTATGATGACCTTTCAGCTGAAAAGGAGTCCTCTGCTGTTGCATTTACCTCTCTCTGGGCCAGCAGAGCCTGCTCCACCTCTTCCATTTCCCTCTTCTTCTCCAAAAGGCAAGCCGCAGAAGTCAAATAGTCATCCTCTCTTTCAGGCATTTTCCTGTAACGGAAGAACAGGAGAGTGATGTTGCCAGCTTCAGCCCTGGGGGATCTCCATCTACTGCACTGCAATCTCCACTGCCACCCATAGAACCATGCTCAGGATGCCAGAATTGGTATGGAGCCCACTGGGATATAAGGGCACTAGGCCCATTCTCCTTGGACTTCCTTGATCTGGGCCATGTCACGGCAGCTCCACTAATGCTTCTTCTTGATGGCCTCCATCCTACACTCTAGAGTTAAAGCCTTCATTTTAAGGAACACATGGTCAGCTTGGAATCTAGTCAACTTTAGGGCTGGCACTCAGAATAACCCACTTGGCTATTCTGCCAACGGGAAGCCAAGACCAACAGAACATCTAGGCATGGCCCAATCCCATGGAGAGAGAAAATCCAGTACGTACATGGAGCCCAGCAAAACCACACGTGTGCATCCTCAGCATTTGCACAGTGTCTTGTGAAAGCATTCAGATGGGTAGAGACTGGAGAACAACTCCCTTGTTTCCAATTGTATTTCTGATCAATCCCAAAGGACAAGGAGTAGTTTCTGCACCAGCACCTACACTGCTGGCTGGCCCACCCAACAGTTGGTCTGGTTTTACAGTCCCATTGTCCAGTTTTTAAATTGTTTTTCCCTTGCCTCCATGTTTCCATGTTAAGAGTATGCACAATTAATATGGGGAAAGAGGTAGCTAGTTGTGTTAGTGTATACTGTAAGGTACCACCTTACCTTGCCTTCTTCCTGACTTCAGACTATCTCATTCAGAGAGGAATAAGTTTTTTTTAGGCTACAGCCTACTCTGGCAGATGTTATGAATGGACACCATTCATATATAACACACTGAACAATGAACAAAGGGAACAACAAAAAGTTAAAATTGTGGGGGAAACTCTTTCCTAAAACCTTTAAATTACAATAATTTTAAGTGTCACGGATATAAAAAGATGTCAAACTTTTCAGAAAGAAGTAGGATCACTAAAATAAATAAGTTTCCAACAGTTACAGTGGCCAAGAATAGGAACAGAGAATAACTCCGCTCATTGCTGTCTGCTTAAGTTTGGCAGGAGCCTGCAATGATTTCTGTAGGGCACACAAGCTGATCTCACTCATTGCATTTGGGTGTGAAATGATCACTTAAAGGCATGATACTTAACTTAAACTTAATGATTTTTCACCTGATCAAAGTGTAACCCACTGATGGGTGTGCACAAATGGATACAAACTGGCTAGGGACAAATTTAAGCTCAGCAGTCAACACATGGGTTTAAATATTTACAATCCACACATTAGAGTCAACAGGGAACTATCTCCGTGCAGTTAACGTCAAGGGATCCCGGGCTTCAAGGCTTCTGCTGGTCACCTGTAAGGGCCAGGAATTAATAGTTTTCCTCATATATGCTTTATTTGATTTGGGGGGCATGAGGACTGCTTTCCTTTCAAACACTGGACACTGGCCACGGCTAAAGGAGGGATCATGGACTGGGATATGTCAGTTCTTTTGATACTCAGACATGTCTCAAGTTCCTGGCTGGAAGGTCTTGCTCTTCCATTCCAGGTCAAACCAATCACCAGATGTAGGGACAGGAAGGAATTTCTCTCCCAGGTCCAAATGGCAAGGACTGTGGAGGTGTTTGCCTACCTCTTGTAGTATGGGGCAGTGTTTGCTTCCTAGGATCTTTCCTGGGCATTGCAGTGGCAGGGCATTGGCAGTGCCTTGATTTCCCCTACTATTATTTTGTACCTTATAGGATGTTTCTAGTTTTGTTTCCATAGTGTGCTTTACAGCTGTGGTGTGTGAGGGGTTGGAGTAAATGATTTTTAGGATTCTCTGGGTAAATGGCTACCTGCAAGTACAGAGGACTAGATTCAATGACCCAGGAGACCCCTTCCAGCCCTAAGATCCACTACAGGTCCAATCTGGAAACAACAGGCGTCTATAACCCCTGCTAGGGAACTATAGCAGTGCATGCTTTTGGTTTTGGAGGTCACATAAGCATGCAAAAAACAAAAAAAAAGGAACAGCCATATTACTGCAGTCTGCCCAATCTAATGAGGCTGCAATCTAGGCAAACAGAGCTTGGGAGAGGTCCAAAGGGCTCCATCCTCACCCTCTGCCTCCAGTCTCAGTGGGAGTAGGCTCAGGTGCTGTATGTCACCTAGGGGTCCTGCTTGTGGCTGGCTAGGGTTTGGAAATCCCAGGTCAGCCCTGCTTTTTCCTTTCCCCCTATTTCACAGCTCTCTCTCTCTCTCTCTCTGCCATTCTACCAACCCGATCTCAGTACTTGCAGGTACAACAGCAATAAGTGACATTTTAAAAAACCGCTCATTGCTTGGGTAACAGGTTAAAAAGTAAATAGGCCTCTGTATGTACACAACACAGGATTTAGTTTTTACCTCTTGTTATCTAACTCTGTGGCTACAAGCTGCCTCGAAAGTCCTGATAGAAAATCAATTCAGCTGTGAGACTTTATTGATATGACCAGCTAGGCAAATACTGCCAAAGCATAGAAAAAGAAACGTATTGTGTGTGGGTACTACCCACGCAGAACAGAGGTTATGTTGTGTTTCAGATTTGATTCAACCTACATTGGCCAGTACTGAGCTCACCATGTCTGGGGAAGCTGGTTACAGCACAGCTCCTTCAACAGAGGGGACTATAAGATCATTTAGTCTCATCTCCTGTATATCACAGGCCATTACATTCCCCCAGTTATCCCTGCCCTAAGCCCCATAACTTGCATTTGGCTAAATCATCTCTTGCAGAAAGGCAGTCAGCATGGATCTGAAGACATCAAGTGATGGAGAATCTACCGCTTCCTTCCAGTGTTCCAATGGTGAATCATCCTCACTGTCAAAAATATGCACTTTAGTTCTCATTTGAATGCATCTGGCTTTAACTTCCAGCCATTGGCTCTTTTCAGGTCTTTCTCTGCTAGATTAGTGCCTGGTATTTTCTTCCCTGTGAGAATACTCCGGCAGCATCTTCAAATCACTGTTTGATCTTCAATTCAGATAAGCTAAACAGAACAAGCTGCCTAAGGACTTGAACATCAAATACAATGACACTGATGTAATCAGCTTTCATACCAATGTGAAGAGGACCAGGGCTGAGGTGGGGGGGGGGATGTAGACACATGATCTACAATCTTACACTGCTGTCACTTGAATCCAGTATAGAATTACCCTGAGGAAAAATCAGGGGTAAAACTATACTGATGTAAATTAGACTGGTGTAGGTGTTTTGTGTCCACAGTTTATCCCAGGGTAGCTGTTTGCTTGAGGTAAAAAGGATTCCATCCTGAGTTCTGCCATTAAACTGTGTGTGAAGGTAGGCAAGCCCCTTCAGCTCCCTTTGCTTCAATTTCTCAAGCTGTTAAATGGGAAAAATGGGATCCCTTTATTTTGACAGAGTGCTTTGAAACCTATCCTGGCAAATGCCACATATTAGTATGACTTAGGGAACTGTATAAAACACTACTCAGTATGAGCTAGGAGTCACGGGCAGACAACAAATAGGATCAGTAGATTCCTCAATCTCACTTTCAACTTCCTTTTTTTTTTTTTTTTTTTTTTTTTTTTTTATGAGCCTCCTGGCAGAGCTGACTTCACAGCACAGATAAAGGCTCTGTCTCAGTGTGGTCATATATGTACCACTTTCTCCACAGCAAGAAATTCACTTCACATGAATGCAAACTTGCTTCCCCACTCTGCCCTTCGCCAGTTTTCATTTCTTCTGTATTCTCCATCCCAATAAAACCCCAGAATCACTGAATTCAGTGTCTGGGGGTCAGCAATGAGGGCTGCTTGGGGAAAATCCAGCAAACCAGTGTTTTATCAGAGCTTGTCAACTTGGCAAAACTGGAACTAGTGGTGATGAGGGGATGGAGAGATTTTGGCCTGGCTTCCTGCCAGATGACCCACCTGGTGGCTGTGGGGGAAGGCAGGGTATTCCAGATCTGTAGTTCCTGAACCTTCGGGCATGAGGATGAGAACAGCCCTGGGGCCAGGGAGCAGAAACAATCAGAGTCCACACCAGCTCCCATTTCAAAATGGCTGGTTTCTGGTTCTAATTGCAATGACACCCTGAAATCTTGCACAAATCAGAATTACCTTTCAGGGAACAGCTTTACCGAGGCCCTGTAAAGCTGGGCCTGGCAGAGTCACAGCACTGATCAGCACGCAGCTAGAACAAGCAGGTGCTGCTGTGAATCACTCCAGGGAGCATCTGCTAATTTTTCTCTTGCTGGCAAAGCCCCATGAATTACCCAACCTTCAGCTACCCAAATAAATACACCCCCTGCTATTGTGAGGCAGCAGGAGGCCTCATTTTCCTCTGGAGCTGAGCCAGCGAGACCTCTGATGTAACTTGTGCTTGGGGCAGGATCTCACGGCCATGCCCCCCTGCCCTGCTACACACATGGTGGTGATGGCACTTGCGCTCCCACCAGCTGTACGTGGGGGCGTGGGGGTTGAACTAGTTGACACCCAACCGGTTGAATCCAAGCGGCTTCCTGCGGCCAGTCTGAGCCCCAGAGCCCAGCCCGAGGGCTGCAGAGACTCCTGCTGGGAGAGGATCTTACTCACGGCAGCAGCAGCAGCTTGTCCCGGAAAGCTGCCCGCACGTATTCGTCCAGCTCCGAGGCCATGCTGGCGGCGGCCGGAGCAGCCCCCGGTGCCCAGCGCCTGGAAGGGCAAAGCAGGACCGGCCCCGGGAGCGGCACCAGCCTCCGCCCGGCCGTCGCCAAGGAGACGGACAGCACAACGTTCTGTTGCCATGGTCACGCGTTCGGGATCCCGGGGCCCTTGCGCGTCTCCGTGCGCTCCGCCAGAGCCCCGCGCAGCCACGTCCAAACCGCACGGCTCATTTGCAAGCGAGGGGCAGCGGTGGAAAGCCCCGTGTCCCCCCCATTTCCTGCCAGCCCTGGGGGCGCGCTGCTACTTCCCCTTTACGCCTCCTGGTTTGCTGATCGTAGCGCCCGTGTTCAAACTTGGTCCGCAGCTGCGAGGCCTCTGGGGCAGCTTCTCTCCCCCCCCTCATACAGCACTCCCCATCCCTCCTCAGTGCCCTTCATGAACCCATGTGGGCAAGCTCGTGTAGATGCTGCAAGATTTGGAGCAGCTGTAAGGACTAAACGTGGGCCACGCGCATGCCAAAAACAGCGAGGCCCTGGTCTTCCAATTAGCTTGATTTGGTAAGACCTGGCTACCAGGGCTGAAACCACAAGTGTCAGCCAAAGTCTGCTGGCAGGGTCAGGACCTGTCTGTCCAGCCTCATTCATACCCCATAATTGTATTATCTGAACAATTCCCTAGAGTGGGATGTGCCCCCTCACCAGGGAGGTAGGGCAAGCTTATAAGGACTATTCTACAGAGGAGAACTGAGGCACAGAGAAGCAAGGCCAGATTTTTAAAGTTATTTAAAAATGGGTTAATTGATTTCAATGAGTGTTAGGTGCTTGCATGCCTTTAAAACCCGGGGCCTCACTACCATGCCAAGGGTCACACAGGTCATAGTAAAGTGGGCTATGAACTCACCTCTTCCAAAACCCAGGTTAGGCTCTTACCACTAAGCATCCTTCTACCCCTAATGACACTGACTCATTCTTGGCTTTGCTATTTGCATGTGCCTAGGAGCCTAGCTACAGACAGGGACCCCTTAATCATTTCAACACAGGTGTAGGATTGCATATACAGAGCACATCTAGCCAAGGGTTAAAGACCTTTCACTGCACCCTGAACCATGCTTGATTTAGAAACCCTTTCCATGTGCATTGTCACATGCTGCTGATTCTTCAGCCCTTGTTTTCTTACCTAGCACAGTTGCATGCAAAGGACCAGAGGGATATGGATAACCTTCAGAGGGTCCAGAGGTGGGCTACTCATATGGTTAAGGGCCTGCAGGTAAGATCCTACAAGGAGAGATCGAGGGACCCGAGTCTCTTCAGCCTCAGCAAAAAAAGGCTGAGAGGGGATCTTGTGGCCATCTATAAATTTATCTGGGGGGCAGGAGGGGGCAGGAAGGAATAGGAGACACCACTTTGTTTACCAGGGTGCCCCTTGGTGTTACTAGGAACAACAGCCATAAACTGAGTGCAGATTTAGATTAGACATTGGGAGAAAAAAATTATTTACAGCAAGGGTTGCCAAAATCTGGAATGGGTTTCCAAGAGAGGTGTTGTTCTCCCCTACCTTGGAGGTCTTTAAGAGGAGACTAGACAAGCACCTAGCTGGGGTCATCTGATCTCAGCGCTCTTTCCTACCTAAGGCAGGGGGTCAGACTCAATGATCTACTAAGGTCCCTTCCGACCCTAAAAATCTATGATATCTAAGCAATGTTTACCTGCCCCAACCATCCACGGGCTCTCATCCAATAGATTAGTTCTGTTGAAAAGACACCACCCAGTTAAAAAAAATGCGTCTTTCTCCTTGTCTATGGGAGGCATTTGATTGTACTGGAAGAGGCAACTCCAAAACTTTCATGTGCCTCTTTGTGGGAAGCATCAATTGCTCCTCTTGACTTCTGCTGCTGCTATAGGAGCTCATGGGGCTTCCAAAACAATCAGCTCCTTTGAGGCATTGAGCTTCATGCCAAAAAGTCCATCTGGATCTAGTGGCTGTTTTTGAAATTCTGGTCATTTGAGTACGATGACCCAGACTGTTCTGCCACCCTCACTTTCACCTTGTCTGTGCATCTTTCATTTAAAATAGGGGACAATATTTATAGAAACTGGCTCATTTTTAATAAAGCCCCAACAATTACGGAGGGCAGATCCAGCCCAAAAATAGCTCCTTTTGGCTACTGATTAGATTTCAAGTACATGGTGGCACTGATTATCTTCAGAGTAGGCAGAATAGGAGTGCAGCACCAACTGCAGAATCCTGAAGGGAAGAGTTGCATCTTGATGGATCTAACCCAGAAAGGAGGGGTAAATGATTCCGTACTATTCAGCTCTGACTCTGGCCCTCTGACTCTTGGAAAGGAATAATATGAAGCATGAGAGAGGGAATGAAGTAAGAAGCATCCTGATCCCTTAGTCATAATTAATTACCATGTTAATTGCAGCGAGCCCACCCTCATCTCCATAAAACAAACTCTGCCAGTCACTTCCAACCAAAATATCCAATTTCTCTTGAGGCCTATTCAGAGGCTTTTCTGTTTCCTTCCTCCAAGATACCTGTGTATACATAACTTTAATCCTTTATAACCCAATTGTTATACCAACTGAGGATATTCCATTATTGTAATATCACACCATGGCAGCAAGCTGTGATGCAACTGTTGCAACATCATTAGAAGCTAGGCCACCGACAGTCAATGAAACCCCATCCAAAACTGAGGGTCAACATGTCAGTAAAGACTAGGTGTGCATGTTTTAGTTCACTCACAAAAAGCAGTCAGGTGTTTTCTATCACGCAGCTAGTGAGAGTACAGTGTGTGCCTTACCTGCGGCTGCTGCTTTCAAAGAGGGAATTCGGAGTTGTTTCAAGGTATAATAGACAGAACACCAGTTTATCACTGTTTTGCAGCAAAGCACATCATTGTACCCAAGTTCACTCCTGGTGCCTTTGCTTCTTGGTCAGGCCTGGTCTCAGCTCTCTTCCATGTTCCCTGGCAGGAGGATGAAAGCCTGGCAGACTCAAGTGGGAAACCCAGAATAAGGGCATGTAATGACATCCCCTGCCCACCTGGACTCCACAGCAGTTGTTCCACTGAAGCTGTACAGAAGATTTGCTGCATGTCAGGATTTAGAGTAAATCAGAAGCGCTCCAGAATATAATCCCCTGCTAGGACTGTGGCTATAATCAATCTTCAGGCAGTGCTAACTCCCCCTGAGTACAATTTATGACAGCTGCCGTGTAGTTAAGGAAGTGATAAAGGGCTGCCAGGGGTCCTATAGGGCTTTTGCAGCCACTGAAGGGGCAGTCTCTTGAGCAGGACCTTTAAGCAGAGAGGCTGATCTACAGGGTTGTATGCCCACTGCTTCTTGTGGTAGAGAAGAGATGGGGTGAACCAAATGCATGCAAAATGGCAGAGCCATCCCTAGAGGTGTGCAGGACCCAGGGCATATCAGCTCGTGTGGGGCCGGGGGCTGGCAAGTGGCCGGAGTGTGGAGGAGGTGGGTAAGGGGGGGTGGCAAGTGGCTGGAGCACGGAGCCAGCAGCATGTGGTGGCCATGGCGGGGCTTGTTAGGCACTGTCTGTGGGGCCCCTGCAAAGTGCAGGGCCTGGGGCAGTTGCTCTGATTTCCGTGCCTTCCCCCACCCCAGGACTGCCCTGCAAATGGGACAGGAAAAGTTTTTGGTGAGGCTGGTGGGTTCTCTCTGGCTCCCAGACTGATTCACGTAGATGCTTAGTGGTATCACACATGCTCTCTGAAGGTCCTAGCTTGGAATGGATCTGGGAAGTATACTTCAGGTTTCCCTCGCTTTATGCGGGTTCTGTATGCGTGAATTTGCTCTTATACAATGACCCTTTTAATACCAAAAATTCATTATATATGAAGTAAATTCACTCTTAGGGGATCCGTGTGGTGGAAGCCCACCGTCAGCTGTTTTGTGCAGTGCATTGTGGGACTGATGTGCACCAAAATATAATTTCCTGTGTGGATCTGTGCTTTTTTTATATATATATATATATGAAAAGTTTTCGTGTTCCAAGCCAAACCAGTCAAATCAATTCCAAATCTGTGAGTCACTCAAGAACCATAAGTGGCCCTACTACCGGCAAACATCCTTCATCCCCAGCTGGGGCTTCAGATGTTTCCAAATCATTTGGAAGGCATCCTACGTGCAGGCCCACGCCTGGAAGCTTAGGGTTCAGACGCCCCCGAGTTTCACTTGCCCTCAGCTGTAAGGCCGCAGGAGCAAGATAAATATAGTTTCCTGTGTAGATCTGTGTTCCTTGCTCATCTGTGACACGTGTTTCTGTAGGTGCCACCCCCATTATGATAGTGCCCTGTGCTTGTGTGTACTGTTTGCTGTTGGTGAGTACCAAAATTGTCTTGTAAAAGTGGTAGAAATGGGTCTGGGGGGTCAGTACTGTCAAGGTCTTGGAACATATCCCTATTTGTTACGTTGTAAAGTGGGTTCCCTTTATGTGAATTCAAGTTATGCGCCATTTCCCAGGAATGCATGTATACCATAAAGCGAGGGAAACCTGTACACACTTTGCAGCCTCTAAAGGTCCCCCAACTTTTCCTTGCTGATGGGACACTCCACCAGGTCAGCCTCTAAGGTTTTGTGCTCCAAGGGCTCCCTGCAGCAGCCCATGTGCGATCTACCTGTTAAGGGGGAGAGGGTGCATTCAACTCTTCTAGGTTTTCCAGAGGTCCCAGCAAGGCTTTGCAGGGGGTTCCCTGTGCAGAATGTGCTCTGCCCACGAGACATCTGAAAACTTCTCTGGGATGACAGGTCACTGGGACAGTTGGGCATCCAGCTGCGGTTCCAATTTATTGCTCTGACTTGTCTATATATTCATTGACTCAAAACTCGCTGGAGATCCTTTTATTGATCTCTGTGGATTTTGAAGCAGGCCTTTGCTAGGCAGGTGCAAAGCTGCCCAGCCAGCCAGCTCCCCTTTCCAGCACACCTTTCATGAATGACTTCCTGGTCCCCCTCCTCTCAGCTTGCAAACCTGATACATGGGGAAAGAAGAACCTAAGTGCTGACACCTGAATGGAGACACAGGACTTGATTCCCCCCTCCATCCCCTGGTGTACCATAGCACCATCCCCTCCAACATCCATACCCCCCAGGAACACCAAGGCAAACAGCTGCAGGATCCAGGCTGTGGAGTCCACCTGTCACTGCTTAGCTGTTCCCCTCCAAGTGCAACAGATGGCAGATCTGGGGAGAGGAGCGATTCTCCGGTGAGGATCAGGTACCCAGGTGATGTGCATGGCAGCAGGAAGGCTGCAGAAACCCCGCTCTGCACACTAGGGGAGGGGGGAGCCCCTTCCTCCACCTTGGGCCCAATCTTGCTCTCAGTTACACCTGGTTGAAGCCAGAGGCACTTGATTTCACTGT